CGTCGCGACACTTCTCCCCCCCCCTCCTCGCCCAGGGCCTGGGAAGAGAAAGAGCACGCTAACGAGATACGAATACGTTGAAAAGACCATGTGCAGAAAGGCAAAGAAGTTGGAATTGAAGATTCAGTAGCTTACTAGATCAGAAAAGAAGTACGTAGCATGGTTGAAGAAGAAGAAGAAGAAGAAGAAGAAGAAAAAGAAGAAGAAGAAGAAGAAGAAGAAGAAAAAGAGAGAGGCAGAAAATACTATTAAATATGGGTGAGAAAAGAGAAAGAGGAAAAAGGGAAAGAGGAATAAGAAAATGTAAATAATGAATTATTATTATTATTATTATTATTATTATTATTATTATTATTATTATTATTATTATTCAATACAATACGCTTCTCTCACTTCCAATTCTCATCACCTGCAAACGCAACTGATGTAATGCTCTTAAAATCGTGCTATGGATAATTATGTTTATTTTTTATTGACGATGATATTATTAATTTCATCTACACATTTCGACAACCCGACTACACGCTTTATCGCAACTTCCACAATTAACAGAGCACAACTCAGATGGAATACACAAATAAAGAAAAAATAAGAAAATTAAATGGAAGTGAACCAAATAGAAAGATTTTTTGTCAGGAGAGTGGAGTCTGGCTGACACCAAATTGACACACCTCATCTAGCATTGGAATTTCATTGAGGAAATGCTAGTCATACATTCCAAATGTGCTATTTTCGTCAGTCATTTGAAGTTCGGTCCTACATGTGGAGCATATGGAAAATAAAATAGCTTAATCAAACCTTGCGCTCAAAAACGATGTACTAAAAGCTTAAAAAATAGACAAATACTCTCCACACAAAGAAAAATACGAAAAAGGTGTGATATGGAACGGAAAGGAATTGTACCATCCAGAGTTGAAACGGCCAAGGCAGCCAAGACGGTGGTCGTGCAGACAGTGTTTCCAGGTGGTTTTACTCATTTCCCGCTAGAAAGTGGTAAAAAAAACACCAAGACTAAAAAAAAATTCAAAAAATGATTTATTCATGTGTAAAATATGAGGAGGTTTGGAAATTAAGGAAATACGAAAAATATTATTAATTGAATACGATGATGTTTGCATTTTACAGTAAACACTCATATTTGTAAAGCTTATAAATATGTATAACTATATAATAATGAGCATATACACACACATTGTATAAGTTTTTTTTAAGGAGTTTCACATTGTATACCGGTTATGAAACTTAGGAGGTATCTTAGTCTTACTCATTGTAATTACTGAAAAAGAGATAATGATAACTCTTTTTAAAAGTTTTCTTCAACAGATATCGATGTTTTCATTACTTGTTTATTGCTGATTTGTTTTTTTATCAAATGTCTACAAATCTTTGGTAGTGACCAATAGCCTCCCAATATTAATTCTTTCAAATAATCTTACTAAGGCTATGAGTGTTTTTATTACGCTTACATAGGGAATATTTGAATAAATATACTTGCAATAATCATTGAGAATAGTTTTTTTGGGTTTTATGA